CGTGGCCCTCAGAACCTGGCTAGCTAAACTATTACTCAGTTTACAGAATAAGGAGCAGGACTAGCTGGTAAAGACACACACCTAAGCAGACATGGCAAGCAGTCGGGACAAGAATACCATCCACCTGCCCTCAAAGCCAAGGTCCTAACCTAGGGTTTGACTCAGACTTGGACAATACACTTTATATGCAACCACCATAATTGGGCCTTCCCTGCATTCTCTTAAAATTGAATCTCCGTGGGATAGCTAAATCGCAAGGTGGACCACAGAACTTTATCATGACCATGAATGAACTGGCAGTTAATGAAATTGTTCTGTCGATGTGAGAACTGGGTGATGGCAAAAGGGTGTCCAGTGAGTGGGTGAGTGAGAGGATCAATGAACCAGCAGAAACTAAAGGGTTGTCTCAGGCAGCACCACTCCCTGACTGCTGCACCTGTAGCCAGTGCCCCTCAATAGTGGATCCTGACTTTACCCCACGTGAGAATATTTCCAAGTCACCTATTCTTCCCTCCAAACTTCCCAAGTCCTGCAAAAACACTGATTAATACTGATAAACTTATGAAAGAAAATGAATGTTTATTTTTAAATACTCAAGTTAGGAGCAACTAACTGTAGTTGAATTACAAAATTGATACTTCAGATCCCTACACTGTTATTCTCACAAAGTTATCATAAAGGTAGCATGCTATGCAACTATTTATGCAGCAAGGTCTCTTTTTAAGAGATCTTAGAGCTTATGTCTTCATATTTCTTAATATTATGATTCTCAATGACGTATGTATAGACTTTCAGAATTTGAGTCCTTGACCTTCTGCATGATAGAATTACCCAAGCAGCAGATGTGCCCCACCAGCCTTCAGCTTCCTTCTTTTAAGCTGTTTAAAGTTAAATGTCCTTAATTTTTATTCACTGGACTGTTTTCTTTGTAGCATTTGGCTAGTATGATACTACAGGTCCCAGAAAATCTTCACTAAAGAGTCTTCCTGTATTGCTAATCTATTAACAGCAACGTACTATATTGTATTACATTTATCATATGGTAAATGATAAATTATCATATTGTGTCCTATCATACTGCACTTGCAGTGCTGGGGTCGAACCCGGAAGCTTGCACACGTTAAGCACATGCTCTCCTACTAGGCAACATCCTTGTTGTCGGTATCTAATGTTAAGTGTGTGAAGAACATTAAAGTCCTAAAACATCTAAATGTCCTTGATATTGTAACACACAACAAACTACTTTCCTTAGACCTACTGGATCAAGCTTAATAGGAAAACATTTTTGATGCCCATCCTTACATCCTGTGATATGGTAGAATGGAGTATAATTTTGAGGCCTAATGTAACTGCTTATCCTTTCATAAGACACTAATCTAATCTTGTATTGCATATGTGCAATTGGTTATGCCACCAATGTTAACAGCAGGGTTCTTGCTACTTGTATTTTCCATCTCCCTGTTTTCCTGTTCAAGCTCACATAATAATCCTGTCTTCCAAGGAAAGGATTTACACCAGATTTAGCGGTGTGAATTTCATTAACATCAAAAGATATACTTTATAAATAAAATATGCAGAGTGGATAAAGTTCTCTAACCAAACTAGGAAGCCTCAACTACCAGCTCAAGTGCTGGCTCTTCTGTGCCTCCTTTCTTTAAATTTTATTCTTATTGATACTCTACCATTCTTCCTTGGTTTTCCCTTTCTTAAAATTTTTATTTTATTTTATTTTTTATGTATTTGGTACAGGATCTCACTACACAGTTAAGACTCATAGTGATCCTCTTGTCTCAACCTCCCCAGTGCTGGGATTACAGGTGTATACTACAACATCTAGACTCAGTGGCCGGCTCAGCTGTGTCTGGGGATGGGGTTGGCATGCCATGTGGTGCCTTCTTTGGTTTTCTTATATGATTTCTTTTTAAAAAAAATCTCTTCTTTATATTCCAGTTATTCCTGAAATTTTCCATTTTTCTATTATGTTATTTTCTTGAATAGTGTTGTTGTTGTTTTGGTCAACTTTTCTTCCCGTTCATTTTTTCTTTCCTTTTAATAAGGTTTTTGGTTTTTCTTGCTTGCTTTTTACCTTCTTCACTCTTAAAACATCTCGATGAAAACTGGATTTTAAGAAAGAATACTTTTTGGACCAAAAGTACTCACAGAGTCCCAGCTCTGTGCCTGCCTCACCCAGAGAGTACTTGGTTCCAGAGGAAGACATTCTGGGCGCTTCCGTGTCCACCTCTCTGGGCACATGCAATAGGGTGTCGTTCATTTGTCATGTAACCTTACAAGACGCATGATCTGCACAGCAGTCAGCCCAAATCTGGCACTCAGGGCACCTGTGCAGTCAATCAGGCATGTTGAAGAAACATGTAAGAAATATTTCACAAGCAGCTCTAAACTCAGCAGGTGGGGCAGCTGAATTTTTGTCCAGTGAGTCAGTTTTCGTTTAATTAAGGCAAAGCCTAACTCAACCTTATTGAAAAAGAAAGGCTGACATAACTCACAACTAGTTATTCACCAATACTGATGTCATCAAGAGTTTATGTTCTTATTCTCACTGTACGATCATCCGTGCTACCAGCTTTATTCTAGGCATGGATCTCTCACGAATTAAGCAGAATCTAGTTCAGTGATGTTGAATCTTTTAGAAACCAACCACCCAAACTACAACCCAAAACCCACTTATTTATCACAAACTGTCAACACTGCAATTAAACCTGAATACTCAGGTTTTACTTTTTTAATGGAATCTATTTATTTATTTATTTATCTAATGTATTTGGTACAAGGTCTCTCTAAGCAGCTTGGACTCTAGTGATCCTCCTGTTTTCAGCCTCCCTAGTGCTGGGATTACAAGTGTGCACCGCCACACCCAGTCTCAGTGGCCGACACAGTGAGCCTGGCGGGGGTGGGGGGTCCAGAGCAGCATGTAATTTTGAAGACAAATCCCCGTCCCTGTGCTTGCCTAAGCAGGTGTTTTGTCTGCTGAGCTATCTCACCAATCCTCTGAGGTTTTAGCTTTAAAAAGATAATTCACACGCTTCGCTTACATGCCAACAGAGGGCTCTGCATGCCAGCAGCAGCTTGGCTGCCATGGCTTCACCACCACTGTCATGTACCACACACAGGGGGTTTGCAGGTGACAGAAAAGTTCCCAGAAAAATCCCTAAGATTTGACTGGATTTTTCTGGTCATGAACTACTTCTAATCCAGCCACTGTGGAAGAGGAGGTGAGATGAGGTGATTCTTCTACTCTTGGTCCATCTGCTCATTTCTATGGCCTGTGTACACGGCTCCTGGGAACCAGAAGGTCTCAAAGGAGGAGCAAGGAGGGGGCTAGCTCCTCGCTAGGAAAGCATCTAGCACATAGACACTGCACATAGGGAAGCTGAACACGGTACAGAACAAAGGCAGTAATTCAAATACTGTGTGTTCTTTTCACATAGAGATAGCTTGATAATTATAGGATTAAAAAAATGAATATTTTGTTTTATGAAATGGAGCTTTCCTGTGTTTTAATAATAATTTTTTCTAGTAACTCTAAGATTATTGACCCAGCCATTGGCTGTTATCATTATTTCTATGATTTAAATACTATCTCTTAAATAATAATTATAATAAGTAGAATAAAAGACAAATAACTATTTGACTAAAACAATGAGATCCTTGTTGGAAATGAATACTTAAAGACCAATTAGTGAATATTTTAAAAGAAATGGTTTAGAACTAAGGTTAAACACAAATAGGGGAAAGATAACTTTTAAAAGTGAGGAGACACAGTGAGCCTTCAGAAGTGGGGGACTCCTGCTCATCTCCCCTCGTCTTAATCTCAGACTCCTTTAGGCCTAACTACTAAGCAAGGAGCTGATGAAATTAAAGGCCAGGACTGTAATGACACAATGCCCATAAAAGTCATCTGCGTGGTCAACTAGGGATGCAGAGAGGCTGAGGGTCGTGTTTATAGCAGCCAAGTAGTTCCTTATTGGCAATTAGACTATAGCCAGATCTTTAAATAGATGAGTGTCAATTCTTACCCTCTTGAAAAAAATGTTCAGGTCTATTTTCTAGAGTTTCTGGATGCCAATTCCAAAATGATTTTCTCCCAATAGGTCAAATACTCTTATTTTTTTCTGGACTAAAACAGGAAACTAGAAGGCTATCTGCAACAATGAGTCATCGGCCACTGCAGCTGCACGACATCTAGGTCTCTCCCTGTCTCTGCGGCTCTTCAGAGGAGAGGGCTATCTTTTAATGACACACAAATCCCTGCACTGCCTGGCTGCAAAACATAATTAATTCTGGCCTTTTTATGCTTAATGAAACACCTTGTATGCATGACCGCAGTGGAATTGAGCTTCTTATATGTACTTAAAATAAGGAAAGCCCTAGTCACAGCCTAGTTCTACCCCAAGTGCTCCCTAACACGTTTCTGTCTGAGCTGTACATCATTTCTGCAAGGCATAGGTCTTATAACACGTAAAGCAGGCTAAAGAAAACCACTAGCCACCTGTAGGAATCATTCTCCTAACTTCTGAAAGTGTGAAATATTTTGTATTTCAAATTCTTGGCGGTAAGCAAGTTTTTATTTCTCAACTTACGGCTGTTCTAGTAGAGTACACAAACAAAGTTATCTTTTAGGTGCAGCTGTTCAATATCATTTCCTTTCATTAGAATAACATTTCATATTGTAGGGCATACGCAAGGCTGCCTTACAGAAAGCATTATTCTTTGGAAAATCCAAACAGGAAAATGTTCAAGGTTTTAGACCACAAATAACAATAGGAGTAAAGAACTGAAAAACAACATTCAACTGAAAGATTTACTTTGAAAGGTTTTCTCTACTTATAATATTCAATTATTCTAGCTCTATCGGAGGTGTCTTAAAGCCAGTGCTTACTTTTAAAGAAGTGTTACCACACCCGTAAATATAGTTTCCTTGCTCTAATTATAGATTGTGCACTGAGTCAGTGAATAGTGAAATACAGAATTCTCCTCACCTGTTTAGGCGTAACCCCAGGCATGCGAATATCCAATGCAAAATCTGATGAGTCAATGGGAATTACTGGTCTGGGGGTACCAGGACATTCATTGGAAAATGGTCTAGTCGTTTCTTTCAGCCTTAAAAGAGAAGAGAATTTCAACATTTATGAATGGGAAGGGGGACAAAAAAGAATTCTAAGATCTTAAGATTAAATAAAGTTGTAATGATGAATCTTCTTTCATATAACTTGGAATGATATTTTATAGTTCACGATCACTCTATTCCCAGGTTGCAAATAGAACAAGCAGGCTACTTCTAAACCTCACTTTAATAAACACTTGTCAAAATACTTATTTGTTTCTAGTTAATAAAGATATAACATTAATACATTAGAAATTAACACTATTACCCACATACCAGTTTTCTAATGAGAGAAATCTTAACCGTAACTCAACGTTTGGTAGCTATTTGATGAAGCGCCCAATGTTTCCAGTTAGAAAAAAATAGTAAACATAATATTGCTGGGAGGCAGAGTTACATGCAGAGGACATAAAAGATTGCGCTGTGAATTACAAATGTACAAGTGCATAAATATTTAATATGGTAATTATGAGGCGTGTGTGTACAGCCCAGTGTTTCCCAGTGAGCTATTACAGCCCATGATCGGCTTCTCCACTGCCGCTCTATCGTGCTAGTTTATTCTTCAAGCCCTTCTAAACAGCAGGGCACTCAAGTCTAAAAGGCTATATTATAGTTTCTAAAATATGTCCCCAAGAGGGAGTGATCAGCATTGGAATCAGAACTTCTAACTGGAGTTCTGAACGCCACAGCCTGGGTAGCAGGCTGGGCTACAGTATAGGGGGGTTATTCCTTCCTTCCTTTTTGTTTTTGTTTTCAAAGGAGACTTCACAAGAAGTTACAGCGCCGAACCCCCCGGTCGCCTCTGTAGGAAGCCCGGGTCCCACCCAGGACGCGCTCGCGGACACGCACCTCTTGATCACGGCCAGCGGGCTCCGGAGCGCCGCGCCGCCCCGCAGGGCGAGCAGCAGCGGCGGCAGCAGCAGGGCGAGCAGGCAGCGCGCGCGGGCCATCGCGGCGGCTACTTCATCCCCGGCC